CTTGTTCATAATTTATAAGTAATACGATAATTTTTCCTAAAGGGTGCGATAATTCTATCTACTGAACCTGGCAACGCTGTATGGCTCAGTTAAGGAGGACTCTCACGCCCGGTCCTTGTGTTTTGTACCGAATAATGCAAAGGTGGGTCGGGGTGCATTTCTGCCTACCTGCTGTAAATTTTTTTACAGAGCTTTGCTCGTCTAAATAAATTACAAAAATATATAAATTATTAATTACTTTAACAAATTCAATTTTGCTGTCATTGTTTTCTTCGTTTTTCCTGTCCAATTAATTTTTTATAGTTTGCCGTACACATTGTGGCAATTTCAACAAATTCAACGTTTAATCTTCCACAAGATTCTAACCTAATTGGCCATTTTATTTTCCCGTAATGCTCATTATATGTTGAAAGGAAAATATCTTTGCTTCGGGTGTGGCTAATGACAACCATTTAATACACTAGAGCAGAGTCTCTAAATTCCGAGAATATAACGCTCGGCTCTTTCGCTGAAACGGTGGTTTCTTGAATAATAAAAGTTACGGGAGAATAAAAACTCTATGCCATAAATAACAGCTCACTTTTTGTTACCCAATTTACATTGGAGATAGGAGTTTTTTTTTGTTTTGTCACATTTAGAAATAACAACGGCCTGTTTTCATGCAAAGCATCATGAGTATATTTTAAAAATCCTTTATAGTAAGGTGTTAGTCTAAAAATACGCAGAGACCTTTAATGGGTATCAAATTTATACGTACATAGTAAGTGGTGGCTAAAACCGTAAAAACCCGTAGGCTATAGTCTTTATCAAACCATAGAACAAAGGAGAGAAAGCAGTGTAATTGAATCACCTACAAAGATGGATACTTTCTCTTTTTTTTTGTCGTTCAGATATTTTTGTTTTGTATTTTTCTTTATACTTACATATATAAAATGCGGAATAATTTACGCACAAGAGTTGTAGGTAACATTACAACTTCCTATGTCGCATATGGTACGTTCCTGATTGTTTTCCTGTTGTAATATGAAGCATTACTATTATGGAAACCTCAAAGATATAGTAGAGTGACTTTGAAAGTCCTTTGATATCTTTACAACCTTTTAGAGTAACCGTACAGCAGAAGAAGTGGCTGAAGGTCGTCAGGACCGGATTAAAGTATAAATGAAATTATGTATTTCAGACAGATATTGAAATTAACATTTTAATAAATAAAATAAAAAATGTGGAGAAATGTTGAAATCATGAATTCAGCTTTACAGTTAACAGTTTTCCATTGTATTCAAAATCATCTTTTACTAAATATTTACTTAGAAACCAAATAAAATATTTTCGTTACCTAATAAGAAAAATAAATATTTATTATTCTTGAAGAAATGGTACATTTAATTATTTCTTGAAATAGTTATATAAGGTAACTGCCCTCTAATGGGCAAAACACACTATTGAATGTATTAATATTCGTTGGTAATTACGCTAATTAGCGTTTGCAATAATAAGTTCATTATAAACTTATTTTCGCTTTTAAGATGGTGTAGATGTAATTGTAATTTATTTGGTAAAGTTCTAGATTATCCCCCCTTCGGGGGTGGGGGCAGGGAGGGATTGAAAGAGGAGGTCTCCCCCACCACTGTACCATAAAAACTTTGCGGCGGTCTCACCCCCATGAAAAGTTATGGAGGCTCAAAGTTTATTATTTTGTTGATTTTCATATGCTTGTGGGTATGTAAATGTAATTTGTGTATTAATTTTCAAAGAATATTCGAAAATGAAAACAATAGAAACTACATAGAAACAATCAATAATTTATATAAAAAATTATTTAAATATTTGTAATGATTGGTTTTAAGATAATAGAATCGCAAAACTCACGAAATATGGTTTCAACCGCTTCCAAGTAGATATTAAGTTTATGACACAACTATTAAAAAATTTTTTTTGGCTCTACTAATTATCAATATTATAAATGTTGGATAATTAGTAATAATAAGTAATCTATTAAATT